GACACTGAGGGTTGCAATCCGTTGCCGGTCACAAAAAAAGACAAAAAAAAAAAAAAAAAAAAAAAGGGGGGCATAACGCTGGGCTCAAATTCTTCTGACAGAATTCAGAATGACCACAGTCATTACAACAAGTATCCTAAATGCAACAATATAGTATAAAAGTGAAAGTGGTCTCCTAACTTGACACAACTCCAGAATTATAAATGACTCATACATATGAACCAGGAAGAGAAAGCAACTAGACCCAGTAACCATCTCCACCCTTACCCCCCCCCCAAAAGGCAACTGCTCCTTGGTTCCCAATTCAGACAAATGATTAGTAATTACCAAAAACAGTACTTTTCTCATAAATCACACAAAGAATATTCCCCAACCACAACAAATTAGAAATCAACAGAAAGAAATCAGGAAAATCCCCAAATACTTGGAAAGTAAACATATACTGAAATAATCCATGAGTCAAAAGCCTCACTAGGGAAATTAGAAAAACATTTACTGAATAAAAATGAAAAACAACGTATCAAAATTTAGGGGATGCAGCTAAAGCTGTGTTTAGAGGGACATTTACAGCTTTAAATGTCTATCAGAAAATAAGGTCTCAAGTCAATAAGCTAAGCTGTCTTACTCCTTTATAGGAAAAGAAGAGCAACCCAAACTAAGCAGGATAAAGCAAATAAATATTAAATAGAGCAGACATCAATTAAAAAAAAAAAAAAAAACACAGAAAAACCAGAGGACAATCAATAAAACCAAAAGTTGGTTGTTTAAAATTTCAAAAAGTTTGGCAAACCTTGGTAAGAATTACCAAGAAAAAAAGAAGATACAAATTGCTAAAATCAGGAATGAAAGAAGTCACAATATCACCAGTATTCTACCAAAATCTAAAGGATTAAGGAAATACTACAAACAGCTTATTGCCAACAAATTAAACAGATGAAATAGACAATTTCTGTATAGACACAAATGACCAAAACTGACTCAAGAAAAAATTGAAAGCCTGAATAAACCTATGATAACAAGAAATTGAAATAGTACATGAAAATCTTCCTCAAAAGAAAACTCTGGGGCTATCACTGATAAATTCTAATAAACACTTGAAAACAGAGGAGGAGAAAACACTTCCCAACTCATCCTTTAAGGCCAGTAAACTACCCCAACACCAAAGCCAGATACAAGAAAATACAGACCAAAATCCCTTATGAACATAGACACAAAAATCCATAACAAAATATTCAACAGCACCCATTCGCAATTAAAAGAATTTTTTTTTAACTAAAAATAGAACTTCTTTAACTTGATGGATGGCCTCTATGAAAAACCTACAGCCAACATCATACTTAAAGGTGAAACACTGAATACTTTCCCCCCAAAGATCGGGAACAAGGTAAGGATGCCTCTTTGCCACTTCTTTCAAAACTGTACTCAAGGTTCTTGCTAGTGCAGTAACATCAAAAAAGAAAAAGAAAAAACTAAAGGCATCCAGATGGAAAAGAAGTAAAACTATTTTAGTAACACACAACACGATTCTGTACACAGAAAATCCCAACAAATCCATACACAAAAACTACTAGAACCAGTAAAAGCAAGTTTAGCAAGGTCATAGCACAAATTTAATACAGTCAGCCCTCCATATCCGTGGGTCCCACATCTGTGGATTCAACCAACCACAGATTGAAAATATTTGGAAAAAAACTGCAACTATACTGAACATGTACAGACTTTTTTTGTCATTATTCCCTAAATACAGTATAACAACTAACTACATGGCATTTACATTGCACTAGGAATTATAAGTAATCTAGAAATGATTTAAAGTATAAGAGAGTGTGTGTGCAGATTATATGCAAATACTATGCCATTTTACATCAGGGGCTTGAGCATACATGGTTTTTGGTACGTAAAGGAGGGCCTGGAACCAACTGCCCAAGGATACTGAGGGGCCACTGTATATACTATACAAAAGTCAGTTGCATTTTGTATTTCTGTAATAGCAATGAACACTCAGAAATTAATAATTTTCAAAACACATCCTATTCACAATACCATCAAGAATATATTAAAAACACTTTGAAACCTTAAAGTACAAGACTTCTACACTCATAATTACAAAACTGCTGAAAGATGTTAATCTAAATTGAGCTACGTTTCATGTTCATGGATTTCCCCCCAAGTTGACCTATAAATTCAATGCAATCTTTATCAGAATCTCAACTGGGTTTTTGTTGTTGTTGTTGTTGTTTTTTAAAGAAATTAACAAGCTGATTCTAAAATTCATACTGAATCACAGAGGACCTAGGATAGCCAAAACACTTCTGAAAAACAACAAAGCTGGAGGACTTACACTACTGAATTCCAAATTTTACTATAAAGCCAAAATAATAGAGAAAGTGCGGTAATGGCAAAAGCATATGCATATAGATGAATGGAACAGAACTGAGAGTACAGAAAGAAATTCTTACATTTATGTTCAACTAATATGTGTGACAAGGGTGCCAGATAATTCAATGGGGAAAAGAGAGTATTTTCAACACAGTGTGTGAGACAAAATTTGATATCCAGATGCAAGATATCAAAAAATAAAAAAACACAAACTCAGACCCTTACTTTACAACATACACAAAAAATTAATTCAAAATGAACTATACAGCAAAGATGGAACCCTAATGTAAAAATGAGTTAATAATAATATATAAATATTGGCTTATAATTATAACAAATGCACCACACTAATGTAACATGTTAATAATAAGAGAAATGGGGGGAGGGGCAGTATGGCAACTATCTGTACTTTCTGCTCAATTTCTCTGTAAAACTAAAACTGCTATAAAAATAAAAACGTCTATTACAAAAGAAAAAAATTTTAACTCAAAATTATCACAGCCCTAAATGTAAGAGCTAAACCTTAAAAATCCTTGAAGAAAACAATGGAGATAATCTTCGTGACTTTGGATCGAGCAAAGTGCTCTGAGATGTGACACCAAATGCACAATCCACACAAGAGAAAAAAATACTAAAATGGATTTCCTCAAAATTAAAACATGTGCTTCAAATGACACTGTTAAGAAAATGAAAAGATAAGCCACAGACAGGAAGAAAATATGTATAAATCACATGCCCAATAAAGGGCTGTAACTACATTTTTTTTTAAAAACTCTTCCTACAAATCAGTAAGACAATGACAATGCAGTTTTAAAAGTAGGCAAAAAGACCTGAATAGCATTTCACCATAGAAAAAATATGAATGAAGTAC